GTTGCCGGACAGGGAAAAAAAAAAAAAAAAAAAAAAAAAAAAAAAAAGAAGGAGCTGGAGATCTCAACAGAGATACCCCTCCCTTCAAAAGCTTCCCCTGCCCTCCTCAAATTCAGGGTGGCTGGACCTTCTGCACCTCCCCAACCCCGTGTCACCTGTCCAAAATCGCCTGTTCCCTGGTTGGCCTTGCTCCCCAGGCAGTGTTTTCCTTAGGACAAATGTTCACATCGGTCTGGGTCACTGCTGTACCCCAGTCCCTAACACTTTCTGGCACACTGTAGGCACTCAGTGCATGTTTTTAAAAATATAATCAAAAGCTGTGTGGCATGTTTTCATTTTCTTAAAGAATTCCCTTTGCAGAGGAGGCAATGAAGAAGATTAGAGTAAGACTTCTTGCTGCAGATTCAGCAAGCAAGAGATCAACATGTGTGTGTCCTCTGCCTCTCAAACTTACTGTGAAGAGCCTGGCAAACAGGGAATCGTAGACACTGAGAAATGACTGCTCCAGCCACCAGTTGTGACAGGAGAGGAGATTGGAATTGCAGCTCTGAGAGATGGTGGCTAAGAGGGCAGGGAGACCAAGAGGCATCTGAGGGCCGTTGTCAGAAGTTTGTACTTTGTTTGAGACCAGAGATACAACTCTGAGGTGCTGTCTCAGACGTCAGAGAAGGTTCCTAGGTAAACAGGCACAGGATCCAGCACCGCAGAGCCAGCATCCTGGCAGGGAGGGCTTGGCCACAGGCAGGCTTCCTCCTCCTCCTCCCCATCCTCCCCTTCCACCCCTTCCCCACCTTTAGCTTCTGTGGAATTTCTTAGTGCATCTCCATTCTGGACAGTCAGCACTCATAGGTGTGGGACGGTTAGAATGCAGGCGGGCTGGAGGCCTAAGAGCACCCGGGCTTGGTGCCCACAGGGAATTAGGTTTGTAACAAAGTGGTGAGCTGTTAACAATGGCACTATCCCTTCCAGAGTACTTGAAGGAGAAGCTGGAGCAGTACGTGACACAGCTGCAGGTCGTGAGGGTGGTGCGGCAGGAGGAGCGGAAGGGGCTGATCACCGCCCGGCTGCTGGGGGCCAGCGTGGCACAGGCAGAGGTGCTCACGTTCCTGGATGCTCACTGTGAGTAGAAGAGTGCCGGCCCAGCACCCAGGAGTGCACCCTGGTCCTGTGCCCACCCCTGCTATAATGAGGAGCTGGCACCACAGCATCACCATGGCCCCTTCCCATTCTACCCTAATTCCAAAGATGTCTTATGAGGAGGCACAAAGAGCCCCAAACAATTGGGGACCCAAAATTGCTGGCAGTGTGTTCTGGAGCCCCAGACACTCATCCCTTCCTCTCTGCCCCAACTGTACCTTGTTCTGGGCTCAGACTCTCAGAGAGGCCTCCTATTATAACTGAAAACTGGTTCATGTGAGGCTTTCCTTGTTTTTCCACATGGAGCCAGGAAGGCTTTCTTCTTTCCCAAAACCAAACACCTCCACACCTTTGTCAGGGGAAAAAAATGTTCCCTAAGAGCAGTGATATATATTAGGGAAAGCTCTAGACTTGGAGTCAGAAACGCTGTTTTGATTTCTGACTCTGCCACTAACTAAGCCTCAATTTCCTTATCTGTAAAATGGGAATGAGGATACCAACCTTACTCACCTAACAAAATTATTACTTTGAGAGCCAAATGAAGTAATATATGCACAAGTTCACTGAAAATCTCAAAGGGCTAGACAGATGAAAGGGATTATTCTTCTACAATTGGAACTAAAGCTTTAGAGGCAAATACTCCTGGGACAGGGAACACACACACTGAAATCCACACTTGGTGGGGAGGTCTGATTTGACTGGATAAGGATGGAAACCCTGAAGGTATTCACTTAGTGCCTTTCCTGGACTTGTGGATCACTTGAGTTGACTATGTTACTCTCCTTAGACCTCCATTCTCCTTTCTAAAGCTGCCTCCATCTTTGCGGGGGGAAGGGTCAGTAGGAGGTTTACAGATCTTGCTGTGCTCCCTACAGCTGTGGAGCTTGCTTGTGTTTCTCTGCCCATAACTAGGGAGTAGGTGGAGGCTCCTCTTACCCTCCCAGGTCTCTCTCCCTGCCCTGGGGTGGGGCTGGGGCTCCGCTGTGAGCAGGACCCTGAGTGCGGCCTTCTGGTCTGGGTCTGCAGGCGAGTGCTTCCACGGCTGGCTGGAGCCCCTCTTAGCTCGAATTGCTGAGGACAAAACAGTGGTGGTGAGCCCGGACATTGTCACCATCGACCTTAACACTTTCGAGTTCTCCAAGCCTGTCGAGAGGGGCAAAGTCCATAGCCGTGGCAACTTTGACTGGAGCCTGACCTTCGGCTGGGAGACTCTACCTCCACGGGAGAAGCAGAGGCGCAAGGATGAGACCTACCCCATCAAGTAAGGACCACAGTCTGCTGAGCCCCTGACCTGGCCTCCAGGGCCCCATCCCTCCCAGTTCCAAGGACCTGGGCCATCTCACATCAACATTAGGTGCTCTGTCACGCACTTGACATATTTTATTTCATCCTCACTCCCTTTGAGGTAAGTACTATGGTTAGCCTGGTCTACAGGTGAGAACGCTGAGGCTTGTAGTCATATACAGTTGATGTCAGGTCATGCAGCTAGCAAATGGTAGAGCAAGATACCCATCCGGCCTGTCTGACCCCAAGTCCTAACTGGCACTGTACTGCCTCACACCTATCAGCTTGGTCTTATCACTTACTGTGTGCCAAGTACTGGACTAAGGGCTATCCACACTTTATCTCATTTCTTCCTGCCTGTACATGGAAGGACATGACTAGTACTTGCAGAGCAGGTGAGAGCCAGTGGGTAGAGGGCACCATTGTTTTTTTTCCCTTTTTGTCTTTTTTCGTGACCGGCAACAGATCGCAACCCTCAGTGTCGCGCCCATACTGGACCGGGACCAGCAATGGGATCGCAACCCTCGGTGTTGCGCCTGCACCTTGCTCAGCCAGTGAGCGGCCGGTCTGTATGTGGGATCCGAACCCTCGGCGGGAGCGCCGCCACGCTCCCAAGCGGGCGCACTGTAGCAGTGCGCCACCGGCCAGCCCGAGGGCACCATTGTTGAATAGCCATTGTAATAAGAGGGTGTGGTGTATGCTCCTAGGTCACTATCTTTGAAAAAACCAAGAACATATTCTAAGAAAATTTTTTTCTGTTTTTTTTTTGTGTTTTTTTGGCAGCTGGCCAGAATGGGGATCTGAACCCTTGACTTTGGTGTTATAATACTGTGCTCTAACCAATTGAGCTAACCAGCTAGGCTTTTTTCCATTTTTTTCTTCTTTTTCATTTTTTTGGGGGGATGAGGGGGGGCGGCTGGCCAATATGGGGATCTGAACCCATGACTTTAGTGTTACCGCAGAGAATAGATAGGCTTTCCACAGCTTGCAGCTTATTGCAGTTGCCCTGAACTTTTTCAGTAAATGTCCAGATAGTGAATATTTTAGGCTTTGCCAGCCACATACTGTCTGTCGTATATTCTTCTTTGTTTATTTTTTAATTTTTTTTTTTTTACAATCATTTAAAAATGTAAAAACCATTTTTTGCCCCAGAGCCTTATAAAAAAGGCAGCCAGGCCAGATTTTGCCCACAGGCTATAGTCTGCCAGCCCAAGCTGTAGGGTGGGTAGTTGAAAATTAATCCACTGTTGGGCTGGCCCGTGCGCCGCTTGGGAGCGCAGCAGCGCTCCCACCGAGGGTTCGGATCCCATGTGGAGACTGGTTCCCGCTCACTGGCTGAGCGTGGTGCGGGCGCAACACCGAGGGTTGCGATCCCGTTGCTGGTCCCCGGTACGGGCGCGACACCGAGGGTTGCAATCCTGATATCGGTCAGTAAAAAAGACAAAAAAAGGAAAAAAAAAAAAATTTAATCCACTGTTTAATGCCCAACTGGGCTTACACCCTCTTACACCCACCCTGTCCTTCCCTCCCCAGATTGCCTGTTAGTGGTATTAGAGACCAGAAGTTTATTTTAACAGTTGTCTTAGACAAACTGAGTTGAGGAGTGACTTTTAGAGTATCCTATGGTTTTAGATTATTTATTCCATTTTTTCCCTATACTGGCCAGGAGGTTTAAGGGTTAGCTGAATGAATATATATCAGGGTTGGAGGGAAGCACAGGCTGGGGATACAGTAGCCAGAGACAAGAGGAAAAGTCTGAAAGGAGGGGAGAGAAGGAATTACTCCCTTCCACATGCCCCAAATCCTAAGAAACTGCCCAGATCTCACCCGCAAGGGCCCAAATGGGTGCCACAGGAAGGAATTCCATGGATCCTGAACAGCCAGCTGCTCTGTATCCATTAAGAGAGAGGGAAAAGAGATAGCATGAGCAGAAAAGAAATTGGAACTGCCTACTGAACCTCTGTTGTTTCATAGACACTTTTTGTTTGGTGTGTACAGTAACAAATTCCCCCTCCCCACGCTGGGGACCAGGCACACAGCAGCACAGTCAGGGACGAGGCACCTGTCCCCCACCCATCACTGATGTCCCTGGCTTCCATGTGCAAAGACCATACATCTGGAAGACAAAGCTCCAATGTCTGAGGAATGAATTTGCTCCTTGGTCCAAATGCCCTGGTAGCATGCATGGCTCACCCAAGGTGCCTCACATAGTACTTCACCAGGAGGAATACTGGTAGTACCCTCCTGCCCTCTACCCTCTAAGATAATGGGAGGCTAAGGGGAGAGGTAGAGGAGCCAGGGGATCCCAGGAAGTAGACTTCAAAATGCAGGGTGTTTACCAGAGGTTGCCTGTTGGTTGTGGTTCTATAGTGAAGTTCCCCATGTAGGGTTTATCCTCATAGCTAATTTGTCAATGACGACTTCTCGGTCTGGGAGACTTCTCAAAGACAAGAGACAGGCTCCTGTGGGTGGGGGGGGGACCCTTGAGAGGAAGGGGTTAGCTTTAAAGCACTCATCTGGAGTTCCAGGATTCTCTGAGCCTCTCTACACCCTACCAAAGCTGGCTTAGGAATTCTGGGAGAGGCCAGAACCAGTGACAGGAAGCCAGCCTGAGCACAGGGTTTCCCGACTGCAATTCCTCCCAGAAAATGGCTACAGGAGCCAATTTCAGGGCAAAATGAAGAGCATCAGGGTAACACCAAAGTCAGCTCCTACGTAGTCACCTTGATAGATCAGCCCAATGAAACTTGATTGAGCCCCCACTGTGTATAAAGCACCTTGATAGCTTCTGGGGTTACAGAGGAGGTTTCAGTATCTTTCTGCTTTGTTGTACCCCATGAAGCTACCCACTGAAGGCAGCAAAGCCCTAGCCTGGCCCAATGCAGAGGCCAACAGCTAATGATTATGTGTTCCTGCCCCATCTTCCCCAGCTCCCATCCTGGCCTTCCATTTTGCTTATACTTCCCCTTTTCCATGTGACTACCCTAATCCTTAGGCCCACACCTTATGAGCAAGCTAGTGTCTGAATTCTAGGAATGCATAGGGTTGGCTGGTTAGCTCAGTTGGTTAGAGCGTGGTGCTGATAACACCAAGGTCCAGGGTTCAAGCTCTAACCAGCAGCTGAGCTAACCAGCCAGCCCCAGAAAGCTGGAATCTTTTTATAACCTCCAAATGCTCCCTGTAGTCCAAATTGAGCTTGGTCTCACCTCACTTCCCACCCTGCATCAAGGAGCACATCTTATCAGTTTCCCCTGTTCAAAGCAACTGGCAGCTTTTCTCCAAAGCTAAAGTTTCTCATGCAGTATAAAGCAGTTAGACTAAGCTTCTAACACTGTGGCTTTATAGCTCCTCTAAGGCCAGGGACCCTGAAACAGAATGGAGTCGGCCCAGCTGATAATATTCATTCATTCATTCATGGTTTGAATCCCACCTATTTTTTTTTTTTAAAAGATGACCAGTGAGGGGATCTTAACCCTTGACTTGGTGTTGTCAGCACCACGCTCTCCCAAGTGAGCGAACCGGCCATCCCTATATGGGATCCGAACCCGAGGCCTTGGTGTTATCAGCACCGCACTCTCCTGAGTGAGCCATGGGCCGGCCCAAATATATATATATTTTTTGTCTTTTTCGTGACCGGTAAGGGGATCGCAACCCTTGGTGTGGTGTCACCCGCGCGCCGCACTCAGCCGGTGAGTGCACCGGCCATTCCTATATAGGATCCGAACCCGTGGCGGGAGCGTTGCTGCGCTCCCAGCGCCGCACTCTCCCGAGTGCACCACAGGGTCGGCCCTGAATCCCACCTATTTTCAAAAACAATTTCATGCAGCTTCTGAAAACTGAGTGTCTACTACACTCCAGGCACTTTGCTGCCAAAAAGTGAACAATAGAAGCTCAGCCCTCCGCTACTAGACTGAGCCTTCAGGGAATTGGATCTGTCTCTCTCAGCTTCATATGTCCAACATGTAGGAGAGGCCCTGGTAGCCAATGTTTCATACATCCTTGGTTGAATAAATGAATGAGTGCCTTTTAGAGGAGAGTAACGATAATGGCATCTCTCCTTGACCTGGTCCTAGAAGATAAAAAGGACATACTAAAAGCTCAGTGAATGGGTGACTCAGAGGAAGAGAGGCTGCATGTCTCAGGAAAGAGGAAAGGAGGGGGAGGGAGGCCAGGAGGCCTAGGAGGGGATCCACAGACAGCTTTCCCTGTCAGGCTCCCACTTCGCCTCTGGCAGAAGATGCACTTGCTTCTCCCTCTGTCTCTCTAGATCCCCGACGTTTGCTGGTGGCCTCTTCTCCATCTCCAAGTCCTACTTTGAGCACATCGGTACCTATGATAATCAGATGGAGATCTGGGGAGGGGAGAACGTGGAAATGTCCTTCCGGGTGAGAGCGAAGAGGGCTTCATGGGAAACCACAACATCCCAGGGGACATCTTGAGGAGCATCTCTCAGGCAGCAGCAGCCTCAGGGATGTCACATCTGCAACTGAATTCCAAAGGGTGGCTGTTTCCCCTCATGGCTCCACCCTTCCTCTGCCCTCACTCCCTGTCTGTGGCAGTAGGGCTTTGGTAATCAGATGGCACAGCTTGAAACAAATTACTGGCAGAACTGCTGAGAGGGAAAGGATAATAGGGGAAATAAGGACTGGACATCTGGGGACTGGGGACTCTTGCAATATCTATGGGAAAAGGGTTAGGGTGAAGGTAGAAATAGGTCAGTAACCAATCACCATCCTTTTCTAGAAAAATCAGGCTCCCCTTCCCAGGTCAAAGGACACATGCCCTGGTAGCCTTTGGAGTATCCCTACTTATGCTCAACAAGCTCTTCACGACTGTAGCAGAAGATGGTGGCCCCAATTCTGACCGACACCAGAACTCTGAGCAATTCCAGGAATTAGGCAAATTAAGATTAGGTCAGGAAGAACCTTGCCTCTCTATGAAATCTACACAAATCCCCATGCCAGTGGAAAAGTAATCAGTAAGTAAATGAGCTCATGAAGTCACCTCACACAGTGTCTGGCACACATTAAGCACCTAATTGATATCTGCTGTTACTATAACTATGATTATGTATTTCTGTTGCTGCCATACTAAAATGAATAACATACCTCCCAATCTAAAACCCAAGAGAAGAGACCAGTGGGACAAATGTCTTAAGCTAGCCCACTGGCATGGAGAAGGGTCACCATGCCAGTCACCATAACTCCGAGTGTTCTGATTTGGGGCTCCTCAATGAGCCTCTGACCTCTGTCAATCTCTCTCCTGGGAAGCTAGCGTGCTAAGGATACAGGTGACTACCAGATGTCACCTGGCAGTTGACTATCCTTGCTATTAATTAATGCATTGATGCTCTAATTTTGGGGAGCTTGAGTTTTCAGTAACACCTGGGTGAGCTGATAAAATCACATTTCCAGGTCAAAAAGCCAAGTGATCAGAGCTCAAAGTAGGTGTACAGACACTAAGTTAACCAACAATCTTTTCTCTAAAGTGGGCCCTGGTAACTTCAGGACCCTGCACATCTCTGTTTGCTTAAATCAGCATGAACTAACATCAGAGAGCCTAGGATTGTGTAGTCATGGTGTAGGAAGAAGCCTGGTCAATGTCCTTTTTACCAGGGAGAGAGAGCAGAATTTGCCTGAGTCCTTGGACCTGGGGTCTGGCACTATAGGAACAGAACAGCTTGGGGGAAGACTGTCCCACCCACCGCACTGAAGGCACCATCCTGTCTCCTCTTAAATCAGGTATGGCAGTGTGGGGGCCAGCTGGAGATTATCCCCTGCTCTGTGGTAGGCCACGTGTTCCGTACCAAGAGCCCCCACACCTTTCCCAAAGGCGTCAGTGTCATTGCTCGCAACCAAGTGCGCCTGGCTGAAGTCTGGATGGACAACTACAAGAGCATTTTCTATAGGAGAAATCTGCAGGCAGCAAAGATGGCCCAAGAGGTGAGAGGAAATGTTCAGCGGGTGTTCAGAGGAAGAGAAGGACAGAATCCCAGACCCGGTCAGGGCTTCACAGCAGAAGCCCACCCCATCTCCACTCTCTGGCGCCTCCCTTCACCCCAGAGCCCTGTGAGCCAGAGCCCAGTGGAGGGCCTGAGGCCACATAGATTTGGAAGGCTGGAGAATGAGGAGAGGAGATTGGTTGTCCCTACCTGGAGACCCCCAGCATCGCTCAGGAGGGGAGGTAAGGGAGAAGAGATTTGGAGGCAGAACCTTTGACAGGAGGAATGGCTCTGAGACACTCAGAATTGGGGACTGGGAGAGAACTGTCTGGAAAGTCACAGGAGATGAGTGAGTACGGGGGCTAGGGACAGAGTTCCCAAAGCCAAGGCAGGAGGTTCAGAATTGGAAATGAGGCTTAGCCGGTAGCCCTAGCAAGTCCTGAGCAGGAATGAGCTATGAGAACATGGCTGTAGGAGCTCCATGCTGTCCAGGCTACGTCAACCTGGGCAGGAAGGTCAAGACTGGTGGGACTGACCCTTAGGGGGCTGGCTTGGTTGACAGAAATCCTTTGGTGACATTTCGGAACGACTGAAGCTGAGGGAACAACTACACTGTCACAACTTTTCCTGGTTCCTGCACAACATCTACCCAGAGATGTTTGTTCCTGACCTGAAGCCCACTTTCTACGGAGCTGTAAGTGTTAAGAACCAACCTGCCCACTCATCATGACAGCACCCCCTGGAGAATTTTGAGACCACTTACCCCACAGATAGATGACAGACAAGAGATGACTTTTACCTGCCACCCTCCTTTATCCAGGAGGAAGACTGAGAGGCCACTTTGGGGCTTCTAGAGAGAGCTAAAAAATCTTGTAAGGTGAGAATGACCCATAAGCAGTGGTTTTCAAATACTAACGTGCATCAGAACCACCAGGAAGATGTGTTAAAACACACACTGCCGGGCCCCATCCCCAGAGTTTCTGATTGAGGACTAGAGTGAAGTCTGAAAATATGCATTTCTAACAAGTTCCCAGGTGATGCTGCTGGTCTGGGGGCCACACTTTGAGAACCTCTGCCCACAAGGAAACTCCCATGTGCGAGGGGCTCCTTCCAGGGACCTGGCATCCTGGGAGGTTGCCGATCCTGCCCCACAGAGGGTGTACAGTCCTGCCCCTCCCAGCATCTGGGGCTCTGCATCTCACTTTGTTATAAACTCCAGGCATCCAGGTTAATGGCAGAGGTGAGCAGAGTAGAAAAATCACAGATAGGAAATCCAGCCATGCAAACTTATTCCACGTGGGCCCCACACCACATACTGAGAAACACCTGACTATGTTATCCCGCTTCCACTCTCTGCTTACTCTTCTGCAGATCAAGAACCTTGGCATCAATCAGTGCCTGGATGTGGGTGAGAACAACCGTGGGGGGAAGCCCCTCATCATGTACTCCTGCCATGGCCTTGGTGGCAACCAGGTATACAGCCCAAAAGAAGCCTGCCTCTGGGGCACTCCTCTCCTCACAGGCTCCCTTTCTCTACCCTAAATAGTCCTTTCCTGAGGGGTGGGGTGGAGGAGATCCACAAGGAGGAGGAGATTCCATCCCTGCCCTCAGCAGGCTCCCAGTCTGAGGAGTGTTCATGACACAGACAGACAAGGTCTTAAGTCTGAATTGGGACATCCAGAGAGAGCACTGGGTGACAGTGGTGGGTGCAAGAGAGGACTATCCATCAGAGAAGGCTTGCTGGAGGAGGCCAGCTGCTGGGTGAGGTGGGGGGAGTGGAAAATTTTTGAGCACTGTCCCTCACCTACACTCAGTTTTTATCTTGAATGCTTCCCCTGCCCAGAGGCTACCACTCTGATCCTACCACCTAGCAGTGACCCCAAAACAACCACCTGTGACATCTCGTAGTTACCTGATGTCCTGGGAATGTACCCCACACCCCACAATGCCCCAGCACCTCCCTGAGGAATAACTGGTGACCTCCCCTACCCCGTCCCTCAATCTACCCTGAATGCCCAGCGTCTGGTAAGGAAGAGGCACTTAAAACAGAGCTGAAGCGAGGAAAGGAGTGCCATGGGACGCTGAACAGGCTGCCGGCATATGCAAATGAAGACAGTCATTCTAAAGCAGTTTCCTGTACCCACTGGCCTGCAAGATGACTTTAGGTGGTACATGGATGAACTTTTTTTTTTTTTTTTTAAAGATGACCAGTAAGGGGATCTCAACCCTTGACTTGGTGTTGTCAGCACCACGCTCAGCCAGTGAGCCAACCGGCCATCCCTATTTAGGATCCAAACCCGTGGCCTTGGTGTTATCAGCACTGCACTCTCCTGAGTGAGCCACGGGCCGGCCCTGGATGAACATTTTTTAATTTGGTAGTATTTTATTGGCAAAAGCAGAACTAGCTTCAGATCCCCATACTGGCCAGTTGCCAAGAAAAAAAAAAAAAACTAGCATATCAAACACATGATTTCACAGACGTAGCTTAAAATGAAGCTAAGTTAAATTTTAATTTTTAATTAATTTAAAGAAAAGATATTAAGTAACTTATTCCAGTACAAACCAGATATGGTGATATGGTAAAAATCATGAAGGCAGCACATAAATTACTAGTCTTGGCATGGCCTTGCCCACTCAATTTCCTCCCCAGGAGGCTGTCTATGGTTAGAATCTCAGGGCAGGTGGTTTTGGAGGGTGCTGGGTGAACCTCTGCCTGCTACTCAGAACCTCTACCTGCTTCCTCCTGTCTTGACTTCCAGTACTTTGAGTACACAACCCAGAGGGACCTTCGCCACAACATAGCAAAGCAGCTGTGTCTACATGCCAGTGCTGGCACTCTGGGCCTTAGGAGCTGTCACTTCACTGGCAAAAATAGCCAGGTCCCCAAGGACGAGGAATGGGAATTGACCCAGGTGAGTCAGTTGCCTAGAAAGCTCAGAATCAAGAACCTGAGGCCATATCTCCCCCTCCTCATTTTCTGCATCTTCTGCCTGAGACTCCATGGGGTGGATTAGAGCAATGTAGAAAGTGTGGTGAGGGTGGGCTTGGTCATGGCAGGATTCTCGGGGCTTGCATGATGTTTGGTGATGGCTAGTACTGGCTGATACAAAGATGGGGTGGTCAGAGGTTATGTTCATGGCCAGCTCTGCCATGGCTTCAGCATTGTTAGGCTGAACCCAAGCAGATGAAGGTGAAGGGTCATTCTTGGTTCCTGCCTGCTCTCTGTGTGCCAGCTGTAAAACAAGGCACTCACATACATTGGTTTGGGAAGAGGTGTCCTTGTCTCTGTACAGGAGGCAGATGAAGCTCAGCAAGTTTGCGATTGGCCCAAAAATTCAGACCTGGCTAAGTCTGACTTGAAAGCACGAGCTCTTTCCAGTGCTGACTTGAAGCACAGCACTGCTTCAGGATATATACCTTACTGCACTGAGCCCAAATCAGCACCCCCAGAGAGCCTCCACACCCCACCCCAGGTCAGGAGAAGCAGTGCCTAACTTTTTTTTTTTTTTTTTTTTTTTTTAAAGATGACTGGTAAGGGGATCTTAACCCTTGACTTGGTGTTGTCAGCACCACGCTCAGCCAGTGAGCGAACTGGCCATCCCTCTGTGGGATCCGAACCCGGGGCCTTGGTGTTATCAGCACCGCACTCTCCCGAGTGAGCCACGGGCCGGCCCAAAGCAGTGCCTAACTTTGAGGCTACTGGGAAAGGAGGAGTCTAAACATAATCACAGGCTGAAAATTGGGGGAGGGCAGCAGTGGCCCCAGGTCTTTAAGCCTGGCCATCTGAGGGAAGGGGAAGCCCACAGTCTTACCTCTATTCCAGCCACTCAGGCTAAAGCTGGGGGTGGGGAATTGGCACCCGACACAGGTGGAAACTCAGGAATATAGCTCATCAGAGTGTCTGGTATCCCAGGAAAGGAATTTGGAAGTGTCCTTGTTGTGCCCTGTTGGTTTGCCTTTGCCTTGTATCAATTGTTCCCCATCTCATTGCCCCCCAATAGCACTGTTAGAGGTCTGTGGCCCAGGTTGACCTTTTGCTGTGTCACCTTTTAGGATCAGCTCATCAGGAACTCAGGATCTGGCACCTGCCTGACATCCCAGGACCAAAAGCCAGCCATGGCCCCCTGCAATTCCAGTGACCCCCACCAGCTCTGGCTCTTTGTCTAGACACTGGATCATCCCCAGTACATGCCCCCACAAGCCTCTCTGGAAACAGGATTTCTGATGTCTGGGAACCTGATTACCAGCTTCTTTGTAGGCCCTAAAGATGGATTTCTAAACCCAATGGATGTCAAGACAGGGTCTTCCTACTCCTTGTGCCAACATTGGGCCCATTTTCTTTTCTCTACACTGATGGAAGAGACCATTAGGGCACATGATACTTGGCCCAAGGCCTTCCTTTCATCCTAGAAACAGAGGCCTCCAAAGCAGAGAGGGCAGCTGGGGAAGGACCCAGGGCAGCAAAACTGAACTCCAGAAAAGTAGCTCTGCAGCCACATCCTGCATCCCTGGTCACCAAAAGCACCTGCAGAGTCCAGTGACATCACATATCCTAACAGAGGGATTAGAGGTCTAAGTTAATATTACCAAAGTTTGTAGAGCCATTTACAGTTTACAGAAAGCACCCGGACACATGTTCTTTATTTTACTTCAGTTGTACAATACTGTGAGGACAGGAAAGGAGTCACCACATCTATTTTACAGATAAGAGAGTTGAGGCAGAGAAAAGTAAAGGAGCTCGTCTATAGTCCCACAGCTAGTGGATGGCTAGAGCTGAGACCAAATCTTCATCTGCAATGCTGAACCAGAGCTCCCTCCACCACACCACAAGAACACTAGACAACTAGTCACCAGCCTTCCCATTTCTTCCTTCCTCCATTCTGATCATTTCTAGCTTGTTGGACTCCATAAAACCTGGAACAATGAAGCCAAGTAGCCACATGGGAGGAGACACCATTTGGGAATCATGAGATGTTAGTGTTGAAAGAAAGCTCATGGAACCAATGATTCTCAAGTTTAAGTCCCAGAACCCTTTTTTAAGCCCTATATATAAGGTAGATAAAAAGCAAAATAGCATGGGTGAAATGGAGAGATGGGAGGGCAGTGACCTCCAGCCCCTGAACTTCTAAAGGTCACAATTGGAAAACAGTTGTTTCAGTCCAACCCTATCACTTTCTTATCATGAAACCAAGGCCGGATTTGCCACAAAAATGCATCTGTCCAAGGTTACCCAGCAAGGTGTTGGCAGCCCTGAGGCTACGACCTAGAGAAGGCTAACGAGTCCTGGGAAGTCTGAGGAAGCCGGGACGATGTGCACAACTGAAGGGCTGATCCCATTTGCTATACCTGCATGAAGTCCCTGTGTGGAGCATACCTGATGTGCGTACCAGCTCCTCTCCAAGCAAGGTGGACCCCACCACACATGGCTGCTTTGCCTGAAGTAGAGAGGCCGGGCCTAAAATTCTGTCCAGGCAGGCTTCTTCTGACATTCAATACCAGGCTGTGACCACATGAGGGTGCCATAGGACCACAGCTGCCATCTGTTCACAAGCAACTTAGCACTGCAGTAGGCCGCCTAGGTCCCGAGGGCCTTCAGGACCTTATACAGGAGACATTCTGGGGGTAGACCAGCCAAAAAGAAAGGAGAGAGTGGCCAGGGTAGAATCTGGAGCAGGAAAGGGAAATGTTCTTTCCTGGAAAGAGAAGAGAATTGGACATAGGGTCCCAGTGGAAATAAATGTTTTCTGGCATTGATAAAGGAAGCTTGTGTTGGGTTCCTCTTCCCCTACGTTATTCTTTGGCTGAATCCATTGTTCAGGCTGTGAAGAACCACATATACATAAAGAGTTCTGTTATGGCCACTGTCTTTCTTCCCAAACATCCTCTGGACCCAAATCTATCCTATGAATTGTGTGTCAAGCATGTGTAGACATGAGATGTAAGGTGAGGTCCTTTCCCCATGGAACTCACATTCTAAATCTAAACAAATCATGACAAGCCTGGAGATGTTCAAAGATGTGCTAGGTGAGTTAGAAGGAACAAAAGGGGAATCAGGGAAGGCCTCACAAAGACAGTGACATTGACGTAAGACCTCAGAAGCAACCGTCACAGAAGCAGCAATCTGGCACGAGCAGAGCCACAGAGGGACAAACGTACAAGTGGGTCTGGAAAACCAAAAAGACACTGGGGAGAGGGAACGATGGGGGTAGAAGCTAGAAAATCAGGGCTATACTGTGACTTTCATGGACCCTGGGCACTTTTGCCTTCATAGGATCCTTGCTCCATAAAAAATATGTGTATATTAAAAAATATATTTTATGATTGCATTGGTATAAAGACAAATATAATCCAGTCTGATTTTATGTAGTGTATTTCTTCTGATTTTTATTTTTTTTATTTTTTTTATTTATTTATTTATTTTTTGTCTTTTGTCTTTTTCCGTGTCCGGCAACGGATCGCAACCCTCAGTGTTGCCCCCGCACCGGACCGGGGACCGGCAACGGGATCGCAACCCTCGGCGCTGCTCCCGTGCCTCACTCAGCCAGTGAGCGGGAACCGGTCTGTATGTGGGATCCGAACCCTCGGGCGGGAGCGCCGCCGTGCTTCCCAAGTGGCGCACTATCCAGTGCGCCACCGGGCCGGCCCGTATTTCTTCTGATTTTTAAAAAAGCTTAAACATTTTTGTATTGTGTGCCCTAGGCACTGTGCCTGCTGGGTAAGTCAGTCCTGTGGAAGACTGGGTTGGGGCCCAACTAAGAAAGGCTTTGAATGCCATGCTAATAGGTAGAGTAGATAGGGTCAAGATGGCAGAATAAACAGTACCCAGTGTCACTGTCTCCCACCATCAACCAATTTACAACTGTTAATAAGCAATAACTGCCAAGCTGGGGCCGCTAGACACCCGGGGAAAAGAAGGAGAGACCTACAGAATTCATGAAGGCAGGAGAAACTTTGATGAGAGAAAGGACCACTCTGACCATTTCAAGCCCCAACAGCTTCAAAGCTGCCACTGGTGAGCATACAGAGCAAGAGTTGGCAAAAGCCACAACAATGCCCTTTACGTGAGGTTGCTTGGAGACTATAGGGGAGAAGAGGGCCTTGGTGGACCCCAGGCTAGCTAGACCACTAACAGTGTTCCCGTGGACACACCTAGGAGCAAGGAGCCACAGCTGAAAAAAGGAGCCACTCAGAGGCAGAGTCACTGCAAGGGTCAGGTGCATGGCCCATCCTATGGGAAGTGTTTAGAGTGAAGGCAGTGGGGGAGACGGGCCCACCAAGAGAACACTGGGGCACAGCATGGACAGCTGATCTGCCCTCTAATCAGCACAGGACCACTCAGTAGAGACTGGTCAGGAATATAGAACTGCAGAGGGTATAGTGTGCTGAAGAACTTCAGGCCCAGACCAGAGTTTCCACACAACCCAGGCGTACTGGACCTCACAAGACCCAGAAGTGCTAACAAGGTCAACAGTTAAAACCTGAGCTGCACAAAAAGCCTTCCCCAGAGAATCAGCAGCAAAGCAGCAGTTTAGTTCAACCACAGGGCTTAAGTGCTGGTTCCCACAGGAAGTTCCCCCATTTTAGATGTAAGCAAAGGACAACAAATTAGTTCCAGTGCAGTTTAAGTGGTAGGAATAGCAAATAATCCAACACAGAACTGAAAGAGGAAAAAAAAACCCCACAAATCAGAGACAAAATTTCGATATTAACCAATAAAGGTTAGGGCTGGCCCGTGGCTCACTTGGGAGAGTGCGGTGCTGATAACACCAAGGCCATGGGTTCAGATCCCTATATAGGGATGGCTAGTTTGCTGACTGGGGAGAGCATGGTGCTGACTACACCAAGTCAAGTCAAGGGTTAAGATCCCCTTACCGGTCATCTTTAAAAACAAAACAAACAAACAAAAAAAACCAATAAAGGTTAACACCACCAAAGAGAACCTATAAAACCTAGATGGAGGGCCGGCCCGTGGCTCACTCGGGAGAGTGCGGTGCTGATAACACCAAGGCCATGGGTCCGGGTCCCTACATAGGGATGGCCGGTTGGCTCACTTGGGAGAGTGTGGTGCTGACATCACCAAATCAAGGGTTAAGATCCCCTTAAAAAAAAAAAGTTAAAAGAAACAAACAAAAAAAACCAATAAAGGTTAACACCACCAAAGAGAACCTATAAAACCTAGATGGAGGGCCGGCCCGTGGCTCACTCGGGAGAGTGCGGTGCTGATAACACCAAGGCCATGGGTTCGGATCCTATATAGGGATGGCTGGTTTGCTCACTGGCTGAGCGTGGTGCTGACAACACCAAGCCAAGGGTTAAGATCCCCTTAACGGTCATCTTTAAAAAAAAAAAAAAAAAAACCCAGACGGACTGGAAGCCCAATGGGCTCCCAAGCTGGGGTGGGGAAAGGGCCAAAGACCTCAGCCACGCCCCTCCCTCCCCCTGACATTTACATCCAGCCTAGTGATGACCAAGCCCCACCGGAAGACCCCCTGGCCTGAGCTCAGATTGGGGAGCTGAGGGCCTCAGCCACATCCCCCTGATGTCTACATCCAGCCCAGCCACGACCAAGCCACCGCCAGAAGCCCCCTGGGCTCCTCTGTCAGAATGAGGGGAGTGCCACAGGCCTCAACCACGCCCCTTCCCCCTTACTCGTCCTCCTACCCTATCCCCCTCCCCCTTTCCCTCTCCCCCTCTACCCAACTGCTCCGCAACATCTTAGAATGTAAAAATATAATAATAATAAATATATATATATTTTAAATTGGTCAAGTAAGCCACAGAGAGTCATAGTTCCTAACCCTAACCCTAGCCTTACTCTTTGTTACATTAAATATGGAAAGATTTATCAGGCATTGATTATTTGCCTTTTATCCCAGTATCATCCAACATCTCCCCAGCCATCATATCATGATATATGCCCAACCTAGGTGCTCTGTTGTGGTGCCAGGAAGGGTCTTCTTGCCTGCTCCAAATAGCATAGTATCTCCGGGAGCAGTCAACTAAGAGTAACTCACAGGGAGTGAGAGATGCAGCAGGAGGGAGAAAAGACCACAGGCTGTGCCTAGAGAGTGGGCCCAGGTTTGGGGGTGAGGGGAGGACTAGGGAAGGGAGGTGGTCAACAAGTGGGAAAGGGCACTGGCAGGGGTGGCAGGAAGGCTCAAGAAACTAGCTTCATGGCCTTCCCCTTAGCCAAAGCTGGCTGTTCCCTAACTGAACACCTGCACCCTTCCTCAAAATCCACCCCTCCAACCATTCTCAGAACTAACCCAAAGCCCACCCCCATCTCCTAAAACCTTGCTGCCAGCCCTGTACACTGGCTCCAGGAGCCTCTCACCTTAGCATTGAAGGGCTGGTCCCCTCTGGGAAGAATATACTTGAAGAATATTGGGGCCATTTGCCAAAAATAGCTAAATGTCCCAGAATTTATTCTTTAATTATTTTTAATTACAAAAGTGATACTGTGGAGAAAAGTCAAATAATATACAAGAAAAAAAGGTTTAAAAAGGTGAAATTTAGGGCCGGCCCGTGGCTCACTCGGGAGAGTGCGGTGCTGATAACACCAAGGCCCCGGGTTCGGATCCCACATAGGGATGGCCGGTTCGCTCACTGGCTGAGCGTGGTGCTGACAACACCAAGTCAAGGGTTAAGATCCCCTTACCGGTCATCTTTAAAAAAAAAAAAAGGGGAAATTTATCCTTATGGTGCCCTATGCCTATTGATTCATTCTCTAGAGGTAATAACTGTTTACAAATTGGCATGTTGACCTTTCCATGCCTTTTTCTACGCATATGCAAATATATATACACACAGTACCATATTGTTTGCAACTTGCTTTCTTCACTTAATATAGCAAGGATATCTTTTCATGTTTATTCATTCAAGTCTAACTCATTTTTCTAAAGCTGCATAGTATCCCATAGTAAGGTTAAACCCAATTTATTTAACTTTCCCTTATACTTAGGTTTTTCCCAATTTTGTGACAATCTTTGTGACTAATTATACTACCCAGTTCTGTGACAAACTATACTATAACCCAAAACCTTAACATTTTTTTTTGTGCCTATGTTTATTTCAAAAGGATGCACTCCTAGAATTGGAATTGCTTAGTCAGAAGAAATGCAGTGTCTCAAAATTTAAGCCAAGGCCACTGTCTATACCTAACACTAAGAGTGAGAATAAAAAAGAGTCTGACCAGAATAGGAGATTAGGCACTGATTGCAGCAGTAGAGTTTGATTTTTAAGCAAATACAGATTGAGATTCTCTGGGCTAGTCCAGGAGTACAGAGATAGATGTGAAATTGGCTCTTCCCTTAGAGTTTCACCACTTTGAAGTATGTGATGTCAAGGGGTAACCTGATGTCAAGGGGTAACCTCTTGTACTCTTCATCCTGGGGCTACAGCTGTCTCCTTATTCTCCAGAGGGGGCAGGGAGGTGGGAGGAGAATGATAAGAGATGCCCTGGGTTCCCTAGCCCAGCTCAGCTCTCCTCTCTGAGGTCCACTTTGTGTCAGAATGCTGGAATTTGGACTGGAGAGGGAGCCCTCCAGGTTACTTGAGTGTTTTGGTTTGAATGTCCCTTCCAAAACTCATGTTGAAATTTAGCTGCCATTATAACAGTATTGAGAGATGGAGCCTTTTTTTTTTTTGTCTTTTTCCGTGTCCGGCATCGGATTGCAACCCTCAGTGTCGCCCCCGTACCAGACCGGGACCGGCAACGGGATCGCAACCCTGGGCGTTGCTCCCGCGCCTCGCTCAGCCAGTGAGCGGGAACCGGTCTGTATGTGGGATCTGAACCCTCGGGCGGGAGCGCCGCCGTGCTTCCCAAGCGGCGCACTATCCAGTGCACCACCGGGCCAGCCCGAGAGATGGAGCCTTTAAGAGGTGATTAGGTCATGAGCGCTCTGCCCTCATAGATGGATTAATGCCATTATTGAGACAGTGGGTTAGTTATCGTGGGAGTTTGGCCCCCTTTTTCTCTCTGTCTGGCACACTTAGTTGCCCTCCCGCATTCTACTATGGGATGACCCTCTCCAGCACCATGCGCTTGGACTTCCCAACCTCCAGAATTGTGAGCCAAATAAACTTCTGTTCTGTATAAATTACCCAACCTGTGGTCTTCTGTTACAGCAGCAGAAAACTGACTAAGACACTGAGCATCAAAGTGCAACTCCCTTGAACAGCTTAAGAACCCTGAATAGGTGACAGTCTGTGCAGACTCATTCGAACAGCCTTTTCCAGGCCTCTCCCACTACTGCAGCCATGTAGCTTGGATTCTGAAGTGTCTAAGCAATAAAAGCCCCAGTGGGCCAGGTGATTTTCCTGCTTCCCTGTAGGCTTCCCAGCTTCTCCCTGCCTAAATCAAAATCCCATGATTTGCTACCATCACTGTTCCATCCCCAGTCCTCTGCTCTGGTGCCTGCAGTGGCTCTGATCATTTTGTTCCCAATTCAAGGAAGGTCCTCTGCCCACCTCAAGGCACACCGTACCTCCCTCCTTCCTCCTCTACTGACTTTGATGGGCAGAGCCTTTCATCTCCTGGAAGACCCACCTGCTCCTCACCTCCCACACCCTCTGCCTCCACCTTCACAGTCTTCAGGCCGCTTACCTTTTCTTAGAGTTCCCTTTTCTAGCTTGCCCCCATTCTCCTTCTCTAGTAGCTCTCCTTTTGGCTCTCCATCTGAGAGTCTCCCCAAACCTGTTTCTCAGTACCTTCCTCCACCAGAATTCTCCCCACTGTGTCTACTTTGCTTTTGTCTCCCTGCATTTGCACTACGTCTGCTCCTAGGAGCATGCCCCGTCTCCCTCTTTGGGCAGGGAGATGTTGCTGTGTCTTCCTTCTTCTTGATAACCACTCTCCCCACCCATCACCCCTCTGCCCTACCTGCTAGTGCACAGGACAAGTCTCTGCATGTATGGTGAAAGTGAGGACAGTGAAGCAGCGACAGACAACGAGGGGAGCATCCTGGGGGAAAAGCCAGTCACAGTTCTCCATTTTATTTCTAAGAGAAGTGTTTGTTGGATGTTTTCAACTAAAAGCAGATGAGTAATTCAGCCCTGACCTTGTTCTGTCTTTGAATAACAGGTAAATTAGTTTACTTGAAAAGAAATCTTTTCATTTGTATTTCCATGTCACCTGTGATTTTCGCTGCCTTCCAACCGCATCCCTGCCAGCTGGCAGGAAGAAGTCAGTAAAGCTGCTGATAAGAGGAATACAAAGAGGGCTTGGTTCATGGCAAGGGGGCAGTGGTCTACTCTCTGGCAACATGCTGCACTTCCTGGTGTTTGCCGTGCTGGTCCTTTATGGTAAGTGGATCATTTGGTCTGAGTTCTACAGGGAGGAGGATTTCAGCAGAAGGGTTGGAAAGTTTTCCCTAAGCCCAGGACAGCCCCCTATCCCACAGCAGGGTGGGAAACTCTGTGAGTCTAGCAAAAAACTTTACTCCCCTGGAGCCCAAGAGAGAAAAGAGCAACTCCACCAGCCATGCAAGCCTCCCTGGGTGGCAGGTCCCTGAGCCACAAAGCAGAGAGAAACCCCTTCCGGGGTCCTGGCTTCCCCACCACCCCTTTCAACAGGAGGACATCCTTAGTAATTGCCTGTCTGGGATGGGCACTGCTGTCCCTGCCCCCTGGAGAATCCTGCCAAAGCTTTGGGGGCTAGGGGTAATCCTCAGGCAAGGGGTGACCTTGAACAAGGCTGAGACCACAAGGAGGTTCTAGGGCTCTAGCCTGGTGATTTGAGATAGGTCATTCCTGCATGCCAGAGTTTTGGGGACACCTGGGGGAACAGAAGGCACTCAGACTCCCCTGCTTTCAAAAGGGACTCAGAGAATTCACAGCTGGGCCCCTCATTTGTCAGGGAGGAGCTGTGAATTTGCAGACTAGGCTAACATTCCTCAAAGTACAATTGCCACCCCTCACCCTCACCCCGGACTGACCCCATGCTTAGTCATCACTCACTTTTCTTCTGCCCCACAAAGGACACAGCACCCAGGACTTTCCGGAAACCAATGCCCGGGTAGTTGGAGGGACTGAGGCCCAGAGGAACTCCTGGCCCTCTCAGGTGGGTATTCCTTCACAGCCCCAGACTCCCATACAAATAAGAGTTACTGTGGACTGTCATAAAGTATTGTGTGTGTGTGTATGTCCTTATCAACAGACAGCTCTCCTACTGTCTAGATCTAGACTTATAAAATGGGTGAAACAAAGTAGGCTTAGGTGGTTTCCTAAATGTAAAAGGCTTGGAAGAGGGGATTTAAATGCCACCAACCACACTCACTTTCCCAAGCACACACCGAAATACAAACTACATTTATACTCCCAGAGACACCACTTGTGCCATGCTCACCAGACTGTGTGCCAGACCTGCACCTCAGACTCCACACACCTTGAAACACACATGCACACACCACTGCACACGATGTGTGTCACCCATGCTTGTGCATACACATACACTCACCCAAGTAGAGCATATTGCTTATTTGGCTATTTAAAGAGATTCCATTTTTGGAACAGGACAGCTGGGCCCTAATTTAAGCAAATCTAATGTGTAAAACTGGCAAGTTTACTGGTGAATAGCAACACTTTGAGGGAATTGCTGCAATTAGGGTTAGTCTCAATTTACACAAGTTTTAGCTCCAATTTTCAGGAGTAGAGTTATTATGTAATATTAGTGCTGGGGAAGGGACATTAACTGATAAAAATGAACATTCCATTGGTATTTTTAAATATTCCCTGAAGTGGGGGTTGTGCAGGAGGGGGACAGGGTATGTCTTGAAAACATTAAAACATTGAAGGGAGAGCTCTGGAGACCTAAGCCTGTGGAGCTTAGGAGATAGAGCAATTACTTGAGTACATTTCCTTTCCAATAGGGAATGGAGTTGGAAGGACCTGAGTTCTAGGCCCATTACAATAACCTAGAGAAAGAATGCCAAACACAGCGTGTGTGTGCGCGCTTGTGCACATGCATGCGCACCTTTACACCTCCATCCATGTACACTGCAAATATCACCAAATGATGGAGCACTCTTTCCTCCTGACTCCCGAGGCATCTACACACCCCTTCTCAATACCACCCTCCAGGTGGCAGCTACCAACCAACTGATAGCAATTGGCAAGTCAAATAAAATCTATTTGCTATCCCTAGCCCAGAAAGTTGGAGACCATTTTCAGGGACAGCATGAATTTAAGGAGATGGCATGTAGTTGGGGACAAAGTCTTTTGAGAAACACCAACCTATCCCTCTTTCCTCCCTCCCCATGTAGATTTCCCTCCAGTACCTGTACAGAGGTTTCTGGCATCATACCTGTGGAGGGACCCTCATCAGACAGGACTGGGTGATGACAGCTGCTCACTGTGTGGACAGGTGAGAAAAACAAGGATGAGCTTTTCCGAGTCCCTGGGAGGAGCTTTTCCGAGTCCCTGGGAGGAGAAGAGGCTAGCCCTTCTGGAGGAATATATAACTTTGGTTCCTCAGGGCAGGACTTTAAGGGCAGGACTTTATTTTATTTTATTTTTATTTATTTTATTTTTTTTAAAAGATGACCAGTAAGGGGATCTTAACCCTCGACTTGGTGTTGTCAGCACCATGCTCAGCCAGTGAACAAACCGGCCATCCCTATACGGGATCCGAACCCGCGGCCTTGGTGTTATCAGCACCGCACTCTCCCGAGTGAGCCACGGGCCGGCCCCTACCGGTCATCTTTTAAAAGAAAAAAAAAGAGAGAAAAAAAAAGTAAAGTACAAATTTTTTTTTTTTTTGTCCTTTTTGTGACCGGTAACGGGATCGCAACCCTTGGCGTGGTGTCACCCACACCGCGCTCAGCCAGTGAGCGCACCAGCCATCCTTATATAGGATCCGAACCCGCAGCGGGAGCGCCGCTGTGCTCGCAAGCACTGCACTCTCCCGAGTGCGCCACGGGGCCGGCCCGAAAGTACAAATTTTTGAGTCAGGCAGGCTCAGGTTCAAATCTCATTCCACCAAATTCTAGCTATGTAACCTTGGCAACTAACTTAGCTTCTCCATGCTCCCATTCTCCTATCTATGAAACAAGGTAATAATACCTACTTTATAGAGTTCTTGTGAGGATTGAATAAATACTTAAGTGCCTCATCAACATCTGACTGGTAACTATTTTTTCATATTTGTCTGGAGCAATGCTTCTCAAATTTAAGTATGTATCAAAAAAAGAAAAAAAAAGAAATTTAAGCATACATCAGAATCACCTGGAAGGCATAGGGTGCTGAGTTCCAGCCAGCAGTTTCTGATCTGGTAGGTCCAGGGTGAGGCCTGTTAATTTGCCTTCCTAACAAGTTTGCTGCTGGTCCAGAGACCACACTTTAAGAACTACTAGTGCTTTTTTGTTTGTTTTTTTAAAAAAGATGACCGGTAAGGGGATCCCAACACTTAACTTGGTGTTGTCAGGACCACACTCTCTCAAGTGAGCCAACTGGCCATCCCTATATATAGGGATCTGAACCCATGACCTTGGTGCCATCAGCACCACACTCTCCCAAGTGAGCCATAGGCCAGCCCCTAAGAACTGCTAGTTTTAGGGGCCGGCCCGTGGCTCACTTGGGAGCGCGTGGAGCTGACAACACCAAGTCGAGGGTTAAGATCCATTTACTAGTCATCTTTTTTTTTAAAAAAAAAGATGACTAGTAAATGGATCTTAACCCTTGACTTGGTGTAGTCAGCACCACGCTCTCCCAAGTGAGCCATAGGCCAGCCCCTAAGAACTGCTAGTTTTAGGGGCCGGCCCGTGGCTCACTTGGGAGAGTGTGGTGCTGACAACACCAAGTCAAGGGTTAAGATCCATTTACTGGTCATCTTTTTTTTTAAAAAAAAAAAAAGAACTACTAGTTTAGAAGTTTATACTTCACTCGTAATCCCTCTGTGGCTGAGAGCCATTATTTCATTTATACTCACCACACTTCTCCCAGGTTACAAGATATCCAGCCTGTGATGTTTAGCTTAATAAACTGCAATAATGAAGTTGAAGCCTAGGCCAGGTAAGATGGGTTACTGTCTAAAGGACAATATATAAGACAGCTTTCCAACTTTTCTCTAAGAGGGAAAAGAGACGGTTTGAGCTCCCAGTCACTCAGGGCTTCTTTCTCTCATTCCAGTGAAATGACCTATCGTGTGGTGGTTGGAGACCACAACCTGACCCAAAACGATGGCACCGAGCAGTACGTGGGTGTGCAGGACATTGTGATACATCCATCCTGGAATAGCAATAATGTGGCTGCCGGGTAGGACAAGGCCAGCTAACCTGGGCTGGGAGGTGGAGGGCCAATTGTCCAGCAATTGGGTCCCAGCTTCCTTCACATGTTCTCCCAGAGGTCTAGAGGGATTGCATTACCTGAAACCTAGTCCGGGGCTTGTGGCGTGGCCTTTTGCTGAGGAGCCCAGTTGAGCCTGACAGAGGGTACCATGTCCTGGAGGGAACAATGAGCTGGCTCATTCATCCAGAACGACTTTGAGAATTTAGATTTTGGAGGGCTTGAGAATTTTTGAAGATCTTTGGGATTTGTTTGATCTAGGCTGTTTGCATGATTAGATTTACCTGAAGCCCCTTCTCTGCAGAATTTAGTTTTTCTGTTTTTATTGTTTTTTTAAAATTCTTACTTGTTATTCACTTTATGGAATAGACTCCATTGCTAAAGTAAATTTATTAAACTGAATCTTACATGTGAAAACTGCAAGTTGGAAACTTTTGAAAGAGAAGTCATTAAAATGGTGGTCAGTTCTGTAGAGTGTGGAGAATGGGATGGGTTCAGGTAACTAGGCTATTTCTGCAGGGCTTTCAGAGCCATGCAGCCTTTTACATTTTTCTTCTTTGAGAACTCTGCCACCAAGATCACACCACTCTGCTCCTTTCTGATTCCCCATTCTCCATTTCCCTAGGTTGCAGAGATCAGTTAGGCTGCAATTCCAAAATCCCACCAGCAGATGATGCTGCTAAACATATAATGTCCTGCAACCCAAGTTTGTAATTGCTCAAGTTTGAGGCTTAGCAAGTTAGCCTCCTTCTATGTCACTGGTTTCCAATTCCATGGGGACACAAAGGCTTAGGGCTGACCTGAGGTAAGGACTGATCCCATGCGTAAGTCATCTCTTTTCCTCCTGCAGCTATGACATCGCCCTGTTGCACCTGGCCCAGAACATTACCCTCAATGACTACGTCCAGCTGGGTGTTCTGCCCCAGGAGAAAACCATCCTGCCTAACAACAGTGCCTGCTACATCACAGGCTGGGGCCTGACCAAGAGTAAGTCATCTACATTGGCACCCCCCACAGTGATCTTGATTAGGTAGCTGAGCTTCTGGGTCACATTATAGCCAGAGACCAGGAACCAAAAGAACCATAAACTAACCAATGTATTAAATCAAGCTAAGAATGGGCTGTGGAATAGTCAAGTCAGAGATTCAAGGACTCTTAGAACTAAAGAAAGTCTTACCTCCGAGAGTATTTTGTACCATCCCCTCACTTTATACACGAGGAAACTGAGGCCCAAAGAAATTAAGAACCATGATCATATGACTAGTTAGTAAAAGCTGGGTCCAAAACCAGGCATCCTGGCTCTCACTCTGGTGCTCATCACACCATCATGCTACTTCCATAGGCAGGCACTGGGCTGTGAGTTTGATGAATGACCCAGGGGCAGCTGTAGATCAAAATAAGTCAGGAGCAGAGGAGGCCTCAGCTCTCTTGGTCATTCCCATCATTCTGGCAGGGAATGTTATTCAGATAACATGGAAAAGTGGACGGCTGTGAAGAGAGATAGTTAAAAAGGGCAGAAACTAAACGTGACACAGAAGTCTGTCAGCCATCAGACAGTATTTGGGCTTCTGGCAGAGAGCGGCCAGTCTACTGGGAAAACTTGGAGTTGGGAGAGACACATGCTTCTAATCCAGCTCTGCACTGTTCATTTAATGTCATTGTGGTTCAATTTCTTGATCCATAACATGAAAGTGTTGTTGTAATGATCCAAAGGAATAATACATGTGTAAAGGCTTTGAAAAGTCAAAAGAGCTAGATAAAGGAAAGCTGCACCAAGCTCTTAAGAAATGGAATCAAGCATGCACAATCCCAGTTCTGTTTCATGAGGCTTACAGTGTAAGGAGGAAGCAGAACAGACAGATAAGTTTTCAACAGATACAACCATTCTCGTTACTTAAATAAGTGGGAAAAAAGTAGGAGTAGGACTGGTGGTTTGGAGCCGAGGAACAGTGAGCAATGATGACTCCCTGAAGGAAGGGGCCTGTAGCTGCCATAGAGTCAGAGTAGAGAGGAGGATCCATGACATGCAACAGAGAGAAGGGGTTTGCTCTGGGTTCAGCTTCCATCAGAGCTTGGGAAGGTTTGGCAGGGCAGGGAAGGTTTGGCAGGGCAAGGAACGTTTTTTCCTGGACAGCACCTGGGGCTGACCTCCAGTGCTGTGTCTCCTGTTCAGCCAATGGGTGGCTATCCCAGACCCTGCAGCAGGCTTACCTGCCCTCCGTGGACTATGCCACCTGCTCCGGCTCTTCCTACTGGGGCTCCACTGTAAAGAGCACCATGGTGTGTGCTGGAGGAGATGGAGTTCACTCTGGATGTCAGGTAAATACATACAGGAAGTGTCAGAGTCCCACCCCAGATTCTGTCACTCTGCCTCCCAAAGTCCCCCCCCTTCTCACCCCCTTTTCCACACCATCTCTCATTCCCATGTATAGACTCAACTTTCTACTCTGGCATTTGAGAGAGAATGATTCTGTGGTAGTAATGCTATACTCACAGAATGTCAAAGTTGAAAGGAAACTTAAAATTCATCTTGCTCAATGCCGCCCACCTCAAAAGCTTGTATGTGGCCCAACATTAGTGTGTTGGCATATGTGTGTATTTTCAGAAGTTGTTCATTACCTAGATTTTTTTATGGCACCGATGGGGTTGGGCCTGGAGGGGTAGTTGTAATTGTGTGTAACATAACCCCCCCATCAACCCCAACTTTTCTAGAAGTTTCTACACCACCACCCCTTTACCCCAGTAGTATTTATGGCAGTATGTACAGGTAAGTATGGTAGGGGAAAGCATACAAAATAATTTTATATTAGTTTATATATAATAGAGAGAATCCTATTTATACAAGATCTTTTTTTTTTTTTTTGTCCTTTTTGAGACCGGCCGCACCGCGCTCAGCCAGTGAGCACTGTGAGCGAACCGGTCATCCCTATATAGGATCCGAACCCGTGGCAGGAGCGCTGCTGCGCTCCCAGCGCTGCACTCTCCCAAGTGTGCCACGGGCTCGGCCCTATTTATACAAGATCAATCAACAATAAACCATCTTACAGTTTCTTAATGCAGTTCAAGAAATGTTCATTGTGTATCTACTATATTCCAGGCACTGTGCTAAGTGCTAGTGATATAAAAATGAATCAAAGAGTGTCAAGTAGAGAAACCAGAGGGGCACACACACAACAGAACATTGTAATACAATGTGGTTAAGTGTTATAATAAAGATATGCATAGGGTGATATGAGAACCCAAGGATAGGTACTTCCCTCCACCTGCTGAGGTCACAAAAAACTTGCCTTCTCCAAGAAAGTGGAATTCGTAAGTGAGTCCTGAAAAAGTTAAATAGGAGTAAGCCAGGAAAAAATGGGAAAAGATGTTCAGAGGAAGAGAACAACATGAATAAAGGCATGGGGGGGCCGGCCTGGTGGCGCACTGGATAGTGCGCCGCTTGGGAAGCGCGGCGGCGCTCCCGCCCGAGGGTTCGGATCCCACATGCAGACCGGTTCCCGCTCACTGGCTGAGCGAGGCGCGGGAGCAACACCGAGGGTTGCGATCCCGTTGCCGGTCCCCGGTCCGGTACGGGGGCAACACTGAGGGTTGCGATCCGTTGCCGGACACGGAAAAAGACAAAAGACAAAAAAAAAAAAAAAAAAAAAAAAAAAAAAAAAAAAAAAAAAGAATAAAGGCATGGGGCCAAGAAACAGCCTAGAACACATAGAGGATTACAGCATGTTCCCTGTGGCTAGAGCAGTCTGTTTTTGTATGGTGCATGAGCTAAGAATGGTTATTACATTTATGAATGGTTTGGTTTTGGGTTTTTTTGTGGCTGGCTGGTACAGGGATCTGAACCCATGACCTTGTTGTTACCAGCACCACCCTCTAACCAAATGAGTTAACCGGCTAATCTTCATTTTTTAATGGTTAGGGAAAAAATTTTTTTAGTGAGTATGTCATGACATGAAAAATACATAAAATTTCAGTGTCCATAAATAACATTTTAGGGCCAGCCTGTGGCTCACTCGGGTGAGTGTGGTTCTGATAACACCAAGGCCACAGGTTCGGATCCCATATAGGGATGACCGGTTAGCTCACTGGGTGAGCATGGTGCTGACAACACCAAGTCAAGGGTTAAGATCCCCTTACCGGTCATCTTTAAAAAAATAAAAATAAAAATGAATAAATAACATTTTGTTGTGACACAGCCACAGTTGTTCATTTATGCATCGTTTATGGCTGCTTTTTCACTGCAACACAGTAGTTGCAACCAAGACTGTATGGCCTGCAAAGCATACAATATTTACTATTTGGCCTTTTACAGAAAAAGGTTGCTGGCCCCTAGGCTAGAACATAAACTATTATCATACTAAGAAATGTCAAGAGATGAGGCTAGAGAGGGAAGCAGGTGCCACATGACTTACAGCTTCAAATGCCATGCTTAGGGACCTGAACTTTATCTCTTAGGCACTGGGAAACCACTGAAGACATTTCGACAGGGGAACAGCATGCTCAGATGTGCTTTTTAGAAGTGTTCTCTTATGACAGTTTAGGCCATGTTTTTAAAGAGGGCAAGAGAGGCAGGGAGGCTGGTTAGGGGGCTATTGCAATGATCTAGGCTAGAAATTTGAGGGCCTGAATTAGGGCAGCAGTGATAGAAATGGAGAGGAGAAAAGAAGGAAGAGGATCTGGAATGACTGCCAGGATTCTAATTTGGGGAAGGGAGTTGCTACCTCAAATGAGAAGATTTATAGGATTTGAGAGGGAAGGTGATGTGTTCAGTTCTGGACAAGTTGAGTCTGGGATCCCAATGGAATACTCAGATATTGATAACCAGTAAGAAATTAGATATAAGAAAGTGGAGCCTGAGGGAGAGAAGTGGGCTAGAGATACCCTTAGAGTAAATGAGATGTTAGGGAAAAGTTGTAGAATGAGAAAAGAGCAGTGAGTTGGGGAAGAACTGTCAGAACATAAATACTTACGTGCTTCAGCGATGGGTGGAGGACAAAGAACTCACTAGGATCTAAGAAAGAAGGACTAGAGGTAAGAGAAAAACTCGATAATAAGGATTTTATAAAATCTCAGGAAGGGCTGGCCCATGGCTCACTTGGGAGAGCGTGGTGCTGACAACACCAAGTCAAGGGTTAAGATCCCCTTACTGGTCATCTTTAAAAAAAAAAATCAGGAAATACTGACAGATCATCACATAGTTACAGTGCAGCCAGGAGCCACAGTGGGAAAAAACTGAGAGTGGCCTTTTTGGCAATTGGTGGGTCACTGGTAACCATGACAAGAGCAGTTTTGATGGAGTGGGAAGGGCAGAAGCTCAACTGAAGGGTTAGGAATAAATAGGCAGTAAGAAGTGTAGCAGAGAGGCTGGTTGGTTTGGTCAGTTGGTTAGAGCACAGTGTTATAACACCAAGATCAAGGGTTTGGATGCCCATACTTGCCAGCCTCCAAAAAAAAAAAAAAAAGAAAGAAATGTAGCAGTGAATGTAGATTACTCTTCCAAAAATCTTGTTTGAAAGGGAAGAACAGAAAAAATCTGGTAGTTTTAAAGACAGCAAGTCATGGAGGGGGTATTCTTTTAAGAGGGATGAAAATTGAGTACGTAAATAAGCCGAGGTGAAAAGATCCTGTGGACTCAAAGAGAGGGAATAATGGATGGCACAGGATCCCACAGGAGAAGGAAGAGGCAGAACCAAGAGCACAGGTGGAGCTGGCCTTGAACAGGGAGAGGCAAACCTGTGAATGAGAAAGGGTTTGCAGGCTGGGGAGCTGGAAGTTGACAGGTGTTATGCATTATTGCTTCTAGTTACTCATGAACTAGAAGGAGTCAGCTTGACTGCTGGAAATGAAAGGACAAAGGTTATATGGGTCTGGAATAATTAAGGTGAATGGGAGAAGAATTGTCCTCCAAGATGTTGTTGATAGACTGAGGTTGGAGACCAGCAATGACCATGTGGTGTATGATTCACTCCATTTTACTCAAAGACCCAGTTGTAGAGAATGGATTAATTCAGGGCCGGGTTTTCCTGCCTCAGTGGGGCAAAAGGACAGGATTGCAGATCAATTGCAAAGTCCAAGCTAGGTGGAGGAGGAAGAGAAGTCAGCAGGACGCTGGTACACTGGCTGAAGTTGTAGAATGAAAGGATTAAATAGGGTTTTGGTGAGTGCAAAGAACCGTGGAAATAAGGTGATCAACTCATCCCAGTTTGCCCAGACTTTTCTGGTGTTAAAAAAAAAAACGTCCTGGGCCGGCCCGGTGGCGCACTGGATAAGTGCGCCGCTTGGGAAGCGCGGTGGTGCTCCCGCCCGAGGGTTCGGATCCCACATGCAGACCGGTTGAGCGAGGCGCGGGAGCGACACCGAGGGTTGCAATCCCATTGCCGGTCCCCGGTCCGGTACGGGGGCAACACTGAGGGTTGCGATCCGTTGCCAGACACGGAAAAAGACAAAAAAAAAAAAGTCCTACATTCAGATCCCTGTCTGTACCTGTCAGCTGCCAAAAAGAAAAAGAAAAAAGTCCTGTATCCCAGAAACTCTACATGGGAATAAGAGAGAAAAAAAGGAGGCGGGTGGGGGAGTAAGAAAGAAAATTCTGATCCTCGTGCTGGCCGGCCACCAAAAAAAAGAAAAGAAAAGAAAGAAAAAAAGAGAGACACTGGGCCGGCCCGTGGCTCACTCGGGAGAGTACGGTGCTGATAACACCAAGGCCCTGGGTTCGGATCCCATATATAGATGGCCGGTTTGCTCACTGTCTGAGCATGGTACTGACAACACCAAGTCAAGGGTTAAGATCCCCTTACAGGTCATCTTTTAAAAAAAAAAAAGAGAGAGAGACACTAATTCATAATGCAACCTCTTCCAGGTCCTCATCAGCCAGCTTCACCTATAACCTCCTAAGGTTTAGTCTTTTGAGTTATGTCCCTTTGCTCTCTTTCAAGGCCTCGAATTTGGAAAAACTACAGTATTCTTCTTCTGGCTACTATTCCAAATTGACAATTCTCTGAGGACAGATCTCAGGGTTCCTTCCTACTAGAGTTTCCCAACTATCATGTCTTTAGAATTCTGGGTCCCCAACCTTTCTCCTCACAGTGGATTCACTGAGTCCCTCCCGCTTCAATCAGCCCATTCCCACTGAGTTCTTTTCCAGCTCTCCTTCTGCCCTAAAATCCTCAGTCACACTCTCTATCCCTCCAGAGCCTTGGTCTCTTTTCAGATCAATTAGCACAAGACAATGGTATTATATACAATTCAATTACTTTCCATTCCTCAGGCCCCTAATATATTCTCAAATCCCTGGTAGAATGTGAGTTGAAGAGATTCAGGTTGTTTTGAGTACGATAATCTCAAGAAAACATGTTTTCCTAAACAGCAGTTGGGATGGGGTATAGTTAGTTCCTCTTTAAAAGAATTACCCCCTATGTGAACTTTTTGGTCTCTTTCCTTAGTTCTCTTTTAAGTTTTAATTTTTATTGTAGCTCTACCTATTAAATTGCTTAAATTGGCAAATAAGACTATGAGGCTCAGTAATGGGAAACAGTCATTGCACACCCTTTACTCTTAGTTCTCTCCCCCAGTCAAGGCCACTTTAAACTCTTTCCAGCTGATTCTTTTGGAGTCTACCTCCCTACCTTTAAAATACATGTATTTACATTGCTACTTAATTTATAAGTTCAGCCATTGAAGCAGATGTGGATCTCTCTCCCTTTTATACACACGTATCTGTCCCCCAAGCATGAAATTTCCTATCCCCACCTCAACCTCCCAAAATAATTTTTGTTAGATCAACATTCAGTGTTTATTATGATTATGTAAAGTGTTCTTCACAACTAAATCAAGTAGTATTCTAGGATTACTTTTCCATTCCTGCATAATTTTTGTTGTTGTTGTCTTCCTGGGCTTAATAATTGTTTTTTATTTGCTTAATACATAGTCAACTTATCACTAATTCAGCCCAACACTCTCCACTAATTTGTAAGTGACCTGTTTCATCTTCTCTTGACCCTAGCCGTCTGTGTCTTGTTATGGATCTATTTGTGTTCATTGTGAGGGACACTAAGTGGGTTTTTTCATTCTGGAAACTCCCAACCTTTGGTTCTGAAAATGCTTGTTTGTAGATGATTTCCTCCCCTCCATTTTCAGTTTTCTCTTTCTAGAATTTCTGTTATTCACATGTTTACCTCCTAAACTGGTCCTTGTATTTTCTTTATATTTTGTTTATTCTACTTTATGTTCCAACTCTTCCAATCTTTCATTTTTACTATCAGATTTATAATTTCCAAAGGCTCTTTATGTTCTCTTAATGTTCTGTTTAATAGCATACTGTTCTTGTATTATGGATGCAATATTAATCGTAGTTTTATTGTTTATTTTCTTTTCCCTGCATAGTCTTGGTTGCCTTCATTTCAAAAATTTATTTCTTTGTCTCTTTGTTTTGATCTTTCTTTTTATATTAGAGGCTTTCTTTAGATGTTTGGTGATCCATGCTCTTATTTCAGAGTAGGGTGGTAAAAAGCTGATTGGGTATCTGAGTCTTAGGTGGGATTCATCTGTGGCGGACTTCTCTGTCAGGTGATCTGGCTAGACCATTTTGTTGGAGGACCTCTAATGTCAGTATCTTCAGGTCTCTTCTCTTGGACTGGTCAGATCTTCCAGAGAAATATATTCCAATATTATGCCTGACATTAGAGACCTGGCATTCTGGGAGCTGAGTAAGAAAGCTTTCAAGGTCACATTCTTTTTTTTTTTTTGGCATCTGGCCAGTACATCAAAGTTATATTCTATAAACCCAGGTTCCTCTAAGTCTGCAAATGTAACCACTACCCACTGCATCACTTGCTCTCCTCTTCACTCAGTTTAGTTAAACATGTGTTGATTACCTACCATGAATCTAATTGCTTGGTTTAAATGCCCTACTTCCTTTACCCCAGGTTCAATTTAAGTCAATAAAAGCTGTTAAATTTAAGATGTTCAAAATTCTATGCTAGCACTGTGGAGAGGAAAGATATCAGCAAGACATATTTCCTGTCTCAAGAAGCTCATAGATATGTGTGGGAGGTAGAAACAAATGATGAAACCAAAAAACAAGGCAGAACATGACATAAATGCTGCAAAAGAGAGGAAGTACTATGGTTGTTTACCATAGTACTTAAAGAAAGAAGAGATTTGAATTGGAGCTTTAAAACTGTATAGGATTTCACAAACAGAGATTGGGGTGGGAGGAGTATAAGCTAAAACAAAGGATCAAAGATCAAAAGATCTGGAGTTTTAGGACTCTGCTTCTCCTCCCTGCAGGGTGATTCTGGGGGTCCCCTCCATTGCTTGGTGAATGGCCAGTATTATGTACATGGAGTGACCAGCTTTGTGTCCAGCCTGGGCTGTAATGTCTACAGGAAGCCCACGGTGTTCACCCGGGTCTCTGCTTACATCTCTTGGATAAATAATGTGAGTCCTCTCAAATGATGGGTTGAAATAGGGTCACATGCAGATCCAAGCACTGGCTGGGCTGCTGAGCAAAAATTGGGCTGGGGAAGCCATCATCTTCCTTACTATATTTCATATGTTTACTCCTTTCCATTTCCCTCTGTAGTGCACTTTCTTTCAATAATGCTGCCATCCTGAGTGCCCCTTCACATACCCAGTTAGCAGACTTCACTGTACTGTTTACTGCTTAGTGTAAGATGGTGGCAACATCAGTTATGATCCAGGCACACATCAGTGCTGTCCTAACTCAAAGCCATAGGAAAAATCACTTCAGAAAGGCCTGGGGTTTTTTTGTTTGTTTGTTTGTTTTTTTAAAGGCATGCTTGCGGGGCCGGCCCATGGCTCACTTGGGAGAGTGCGGTGCTGATAACACCAAGGCCATGGTTCGGATCCTATATAGGGATGGCTGGTTGGCTCACTGGCTGAGCGTGGTGCTGACAACACCAAGCCAAAGGTTGAGATCCCCTTACCAGTCATCTTTTAAAAAAAAATAATAATAATAAAATAAAATAAAATAAAGGCATGCTTGCTCCTGGGCAAGGGAAGGAAACACCAACATCCTCTCTTACAAGTTCTTTTTAAGGTCATTATGAGAATTTGCTCTAACTTTTCAGAGGTTTTACCACATTAAATGATGCTTGAGAGTTAGGTGAAACTCTGCCTACACTGATCTAGTTAGTGATAGAGCCACACAACACATCTCACTGTACCCCTCAGCCTTCAAACACATTGTGAAGACTTGTGGCATAAATTTCGGCTCACAGCCATTTCAAGGTCTGTCCTTGCCACTATGTACTGTGTATGTGCCTATAACACTGAGGTATCCTGACACAGGTAAGACCTACTCCCTGCCCTTCCCTCAGGCCCACACCCTCTTAACTCCCCATAAACCAGTACAGGACGATACTTAACTGAGAGCCCTGAGGAAATAAGAAAGGAGGTGGGCAGAAATTACTGACTATGGACATAACTGTCTTTTTCTTCAGGTCATTGCCTCCAACTGAACGTTTTCCTGAGTCCAGTGGCCTTCCCAAGATGTTTCTTAGATCTGCAACAGGACTTGAGGTCAACAAGGGAAAAACATTCTAAGAGACTATTGAGCCAGATACAGAAAAAACAAATAAAACTGAATATGCTTTATCATACTGTCTTTCTATTTATACTGAAGCCCTCTAGAAAAAATGCAGGTATGGACCCAAGTTGGATTTTACCACATCTCTGAGCTGGTTCTTCCCTTTACCAGTCCACAAACTAAGCCCAGTGAGAGTGGTTTTACATGATCCGTTTTTGATTATTTCAGGATCTACCTATCCATTAGTCTGTCCATCTTCCCCCCTCTCCTATGCATATTTGCTATATTCAAAGGCATAGAATACTTTTAAAAGTTCCTAAGTGACTAAATGTGCCCTAACTTTCCTAGGTAGATTGTGGGCTCATCCTTCTTTTGTTTCCCCATTCAATGCCTAGATCAGGTGCTCACCCCAAGCTTCTGGGTGGTGGCAACTACTAGGATACACTAGAGATAGGAGTATAGGATTTGGAGGTAGATCAGATGCCAGAAGACTAAGAAAGTATCAAATTAGAAAGGAGACTGGGGAGCAAAGAATAGAAAAAAGGAGAAAAGAAGGTACCTAACAAAGTAAGGAAAAGATTGAGGGGAAGAGGCAGAGCAGAAAGGCAGAGGCCACAACAATATGGGGCCTCAAGCTAAGCTGAGTGTGAATCAGCAATTCAAGGCTGGAACTAAAATAGTCAACCGGATCCAGAGTTCTATAAACCACAGAGAACTGGGAAGCTAATAATTCTGCTCTATCCTGGCCAGGGCTCAGTCTGTTAGAGTGGCCTAGGAGAACAAGAAGAGGGAACTGAAAGGAGAAGGCTGTGTGAACATAAGAAGCAGCTTTTCACAGCAATCATTGGAGACCAGATAAGAGGGACTAGGGTAGTAAGCATTATAGCAGGAGAAACTAGCTGAAACAGGTCCTGGAATTGGTAAGCTGCTATATCAGCAGAGGCCTCTAGAACACTGTATATATTATAAAAGGCTGGGCTGGAGTCAGGACACCCATGTTCCCATCCCAGTTCCACCACTGAGAAGCTGGGTAACCTTGGGCAAGTCACCATCCCTTTCTGTGACTTGATTTCCCCATCTCGTTAATTTCTTTCTTTTTTTTTTTTTTTAAAAGATGACCGGTAAGGGGATCTCAACCCTTGGCTTGGTGTTGTCAGCACCACGCTCAGCCAGTGAGCAAACCGGCCATCCCTATATGGGATCTGAACCCATGGCCTTAGGTGTTATCAGCACTGCACTCTCCCGAGTGAGCAACAGGCTGGCCCAGCTACCAAGGACCCCGGTAAGGAGATCTTAACCCTTGACTTGGTGTTGTCAGCACCACGCTCAGCCAGTGAGCCAACCGGCCATCCCTATATGAGATCCGAACTCGTGGCCTTGGTGTTATCAGCACCATACTCTCCCAAGTGAGCCACTGGCCGGCCCCCCATCTCGTTAATTTCTAATGGTTCTTCCTGCTAAAGAGAGGTTTTTAGGAGGCAGTGGCTGGGCTGCATTGCTGAGGGTGCTGTGGAGTCCTAGGAGGTATCGTCCTCCTGGTAGTGACAGTCTTGTCTCCGTGTTCTTGCAATATCACCATTCTCTGGGCTTCTCCTGACTCTTCCCCATCCAATATCAGGTGCTTCCATTTTGTTCACTCTGCCTCTTCCAGACTGAACCAAAGCTAACATCCAGAAAAAAACCCTAATTACCTATTGTCTGAAAATGTTGTATCCATTTCTATAAATGAATTAAGCACATTACATTATATCATCTGATTACCAACCTATCTCCACCTCTAGACTTTAAGCATCTTGAGATCAGGGTTTACATCTTATTTATCCTTGGCTTTCCAACATCCAGCAATGCGTGGCACACAGTTCGCCTTGAGTGCAGTATGTGTGGAGGAAAGAACTAGAAATCAATAGCAGACAAGGGCCTATAATTTTGTCAGGCCTCCAGGAATTGTATTTTGACCTTCTTCACTTCCTTGAGGGCCTTTTACCTCCACTGTAAAATCCTGAATAAACGGTTCCTCCAAACTTAGTCCTAATTTCCATCTATCCCCTCAAACAGGTCAAGAGTAATTTCCATTTGGAGACCTTTAGCCCAATTTCTACAATCTGTCTGTGTTCACATTCTGCCTCCATCTGGCACACGGTACTCCAATTAGAAAAGCTTGCTCTTGGGGCGGCCCGGTGGCATACTGCTACAGTGCGCCGCTTGGGTGCGCGGAGGCGCTCCCGCCGAGGGTTCCGATCCCACATACAGACCAGTTCCCGCTCACTGGCTGAGCGAGGCGCGGGAGCAACACCGAGGGTTGCGATCCCGTTGCCGGTCCCCGGTCCGGTACGGGGGCAACACTGAGGGTTGCGATCCGTTGCCGGTCACGAAAAAAGACAAAAAAAAAAGGAAAAAAAAAAAAAGAAAAGCTTGCTCCCATCCCCAGCACAGGCTTCCATACTCTCCTCCTCAGCCTTTTTTTTTCTCAATAAGATCATTTCTTTCCTAAGTATCCCCATTTATATCTCCAGCTCAGCTGTTTCTCCCTTTCAAATCCACATATCTACATGTTTTGTTTTTAATAAAATGTACCTTTTATTAAAACAAACAAATAGGGGGCTGGCCCGTGGCTCACTCGGGAGAGTGTGGTGCTGATAACACCAAGGCCCCGGGTTCGGATCCCATGTGGGGATGGCCGGTTCGCTCACTGGCTGAGCGAGGCGCGGGAGCAACACCGAGGGTTGCGATCCCGTTGCCGGTCCCCGGTCCGGTACAGGGGCAACACTGAGGGTTGCGATCCCGTTGCCGGTCCCCGGTCCGGTACAGGGGCAACACTGAGGGTTGCGATCCGTTGCCGGTCACGAAAAAAGACAAAAAAAAAAA